TCCTTGTAGAATGTTTCTACTAGAAATATACGATACAATTCTGAATACTAAGAAACGCACTCCATATGCAGATTGTATTAGCATAGAAATTTTAAAACTAATATCTGGCATAATTTCGATGCCCATCTCATATTTGATAAATAAATCGTTCGATATTAAGATCTTTCCGAATTAAATCATAATCTTGTCTTACCAATCTATAAGAATAAATGATCCAAAGCAGATATGGAATTATTATTCCTGTATTAGTAAAGATTACTAAAAAAATTTATACTAGATTCAGCAATTACGTTAGCTAAAATAAAATAATTAATAATAATCAGTATAATTAAGAAAGAATTTTTCCACTACCGACACACTTCAAGTAATTACTTACTATGGAACTCGACAAATCGCACTTAGTAACAGCAGTATTTGTTGATCTCTAAAGCTTTTGACAATGTCGACCTATCAATTCTCGAAAATAAATTTAAAAATATAAAAAACTGAGAGGAACATTGTTGTCCTGGCTATTATCCTATTTATTAAATCGTAAATTATGTAAAGTTCAATAAATAATTCTATTTTAAATTCTTCTATATCTAACAAATGCGTCCCTCAGAAGTCCTTCGTAAGTCCCTTGTTGTTTAATATTTATGTATTTGTGTGAACGACCTTCTTGAATTTTTACCAGAAGCCAACGTTATAATGTATGCGGGTGATATCGTAATATCGTACTCCGACCTGAATACAAGAGTTATTCAAGACAACTTAACTAATATATTATAGAAATTAACTGAGTATTCGAAGATTAATAAATAACCTGTGTATTAACCAATAAGACTAAATTCCCATATTTTGCCAACAAGAATAAGGATATAAACGATGATATATTGTAAATTATGATAAATAGTCAGAAAATCCGTCCAGTTAATAATATACGGTACCTATGTATTAAGATAGACGACAAATTTCGATGAAATCTGCACATAATCTTACTTCGGCGTAGGCTAAATTCTCAGGAATAATAAAATTTAAACGTTAATTTGATTAAACGTCAATATTTTGATTAAACGTCAAAACTTTGATGAAAGATTTCTAATTGGGTTCCTGTTCATATTACAATTTAAATAAACTGCAAATACAGCAAAACCATTTTATCAGATCAATTCATAAGTTGAACTATAACGATTCCGTTTCTATCTATTATCTTCAAAATAAAATAGATAAAATATCGACCTTATGTAAGAAACAAATGCTCTTGAATAGCGTCTTAAGCAACAAAAAACAAATTATTTACTCCCCGATTCAATCAGAAAATATCGTAGACCAACAAAATACAGTTGCTGAATGAAAAATAATTATTTGTTACCAGAGATCAAACTAGCAATGAGCCAAACAGCAACTTTATTTCAATTGGTAAATTTTTCGAATGATCTGGCTAATGACAAATTTTTTGTTTTGTATTAAACACTTTGAAAGAATCCGACTGGCCAAGATGTATTTTTAAATAAATAAATGAATAATCGAAAGGCTATCACAATATTATGAAGTGTTTTCAGAAAACGAGAAACATTATGCCGAGTAGAGACAACGGATTTCACAAATTAAAGAAAACATTTGAATTTAAAACAAAATATTGTCGTTTTTATTTGACACCACTGGAAATTTTATTTTGTTTTTTCAGTTTTTGTTGTGTTTTGACTTGAGTAATATGTTTTAAGAAGTATTACACCATCGAATTACAAGTAGAAGAGGAAGACAGAATGGGAAGATCAAGAATAGGATTGGAAGTATTGATATGTTATATAGAGTAGCGGATTAATCACCTTAATATTCTGAAGAAACTTGTATATAAATGAACTGCAATCATTTGTAACGATATTAAACTTCTCTTAATAACGTGCAGTACTGGAATAAAGATTCTTCTGATGGTTTGGCCCGAGTTGGACTAAGAATGCTGTTTATATATACATTCAAAAATTGGAAGGAGGGAAAGAAATCGTAAAACATCGCAGATTTTTACTTTCCCGGCTGTTATATATTAAATAGCCTAAAATGTGAAAAATGTAAAAATCTTGGGGATCATTTTTCGATGATTGGTCGAAAAAGAATCCCCAAGATTTTTTACATTTTTGAACTCAGAGGACCTTCAAACGTCGAAAAATGCATAATAATTCGGATTTTTTTTTCCTGTGTGTATGAATGTTAGAGTGTGTAGCATAATTTTGTTCACTCAGTTTGAAGTTTAATAACTCCTGCGTATTCTGTCGAAAAATTTCTGAAATTTTTCAGTGAGATTTGTGTATTGGGGAAATTGATGCTATTAAATTTTGATAGTTACAGGTCGACAGGGGTGAAGAGATAAAAGGGGGTAGTTTGTCATATCTCGAGTAGGGTCGCATTGAATGACAATTTTACTCATTATTACCATTTACAATTTTTTATAAAACCCATCCTTACCCCAAAATTAACCCTTTTCTATTTGCTTGCATTATAATAATTAATTAATTAAAAAATTTTAAATAAAATATCCTAAGGAATGGCTCCTCCAAATATCGCCGGGAAAGTTAACTCGTAGCTGGATTTTTTAAGACGGGGTGGGGAAAAGATGAACAGAGATGAAATATCAAATTATACAGGAAGATATTGATTTTCAACACTTTTAATTGCACAAGGAAAACACTGCAAAAAGCATATGGAGAACATTTTCATATGTAATATGATTTAACAATTCGCACTTTAACTCTGAAATAAATCATCTATGTAATAATTTGAAGCGTATATTTCTTGTACATAAAACCTATTAACATTATTAAAAAACAAACTAAATAAAAATTAAGAGTAAACTTATGTGAAACTCGATAATACAGGTAATTTGTTTTAAATCTATTGAAATACTTTCTTTATTTTTTAAAATTCGTTGTCTCTATTCTGCATAATAGCGAGGTTGCGGCCGACGTTTTCATCTCTAACAGGGTGTTTCACCAACATTGCCTAATTGTAGTACTGTATTTGTAAATCCAGTGATTAGATTAATACCGAGATTACCGATGCGAGGATTTCTCCAACAAATTTTAGCGAAGGATTAGTAAATCCCGAGATATTAAGAACAGGATTAGTGAATCCGATAATCTCGACACCAGCGTTACTAAAAAATTTTATTATGCGTTACTTGTTTGGATATTTCGGAAAGACGTAATATGCGCTTAGATACAAACATGACAGACAGCAAGAAACGAAGTCGACAACCCGATTTTTCTCGTCGAGAAACAGAATATTTAATGAGTTAATCGAAAAGTATAAAGATATAATAGAATCAAAGGAAACGAATGCCATATCCTTAAAGAAAAAAATGAAACGTGGAAAATTCTAACCGAAGACTTTAATAAGTTTCCCGGAGTAAACGGGACACAAAAAAACTTGAAAATTTTTTGGAAAAATTGTAGCAGAAAGCGAGAAAAGATGTGGCGTCAAATAAGCGAGCACGGAGAGTACTGGAGGAGGAGTATGTGCCGATATTGAATGTCCTATTCCACCAATTACCCAATAAATTTTCTCCTTAATCCCCGAGCAATTTATGCCTCTCTCAAATCCTGTTGACAGTGATGCTGATTTTAATGTCTCTGTCGAAGGTAAATTTGTTTATATCTAATTATACTCAATCAAAACTAAACAGTAATAAAGCAGTTAATAATAATAAATGAAAATTTATTAAAAAAGGTTATAAACATTGGTATTTATTTTCAGACAATGTGGCTGAATTTCCTGCGTTACTGCAACAGCAATCAGGAGAATTAAATAGTGAAAATATGAATGTATCAAATGTAAGTGTTAAATAGTTAATTCTCCTTATACATATTTTTCTTTNAATCAGGAGAATCAAATAGTGAAACTTTGAATGCATCAAATGTAAGTGTTAAATAGTTAATTAATCCCCTTATACATATTTCCTTTTGTTTTTAGTATTGTATTTTAGTGATCCTTTGTATATAGAGTACTGTAAAATTAGCATAAAAGTAATAAAACTTTTATCAACAATTATAATTTGATGTTAATATAAATTATGTAAACAAAGTATTTTAATTATAATAATATTTTGATACTAAAATCTAATTAGCTAAACAGAAATTAATTTTTAGAGCTATATTACTTTTAAACTGAACTTTTAAAATAATCATATTGCAAAAATGTTCATTTATATATTACACATATTTTCAGGTACAGTACTCATACAGGATTAATGTCTTGTGAATCCATCAGAATTTTCTGATGATCCAACAACGATTGAACCACCCAATAATAATAATCCTCGCAGTAATTTTAAAATTATTGATAAATATGCACTAGAGTATCACAAAGCGCGAATGCATTTGTTAAAAGAAGAGAATAGAGCTAAAATGAATTTATGAAGGAAGAAGATTTAAGAAGAAAGAGAGAGCATGATTGTAAAATTGAACTTCTGCAAGAAGTAAAAGCTCTACAAACAAGAGAACACCAATTAAAAATAGAATTACTACAAGAAAAATTATAAAGCATTAAAAAAAAAATAGTAACTTTATATTACATAAATTTTGCTGTTTGGTATTTGTATTCTAAAATGAAAAGAATTTCTAGAACATCTTATTAATAAATTTAATTTTTTATGGTTATTTTGTTGAAAATTATTTATAATTTTTATTCAATAATTTATTCTAATTACACATCCAAATTAACTATTCTATGGGATTTTTTGACTTAGCATAATAACATATTAACAATTAATAGGATAATTTAATAATTAAAAATTTAAATTAACATTTTAAAAGAAAAGAAACAAAAGGACTAGATATACAATATATATAAAAAATTTTTGTTTATTTTTGCTTTCAAGTTTTGTATCTTTTAACTAGAAAATAAATTATTTTACAAAAGTTTTTATTTGAATTTTATGATGCTTTATTTATGAATTAGGAATATGAAAGTCTGTAATTACACACAAATTTCAATAAAAAATTAATAACTACATATTTCTCATTCACTGAAAGCTTGTATTATTGTATTCCTAATATCTGTTCCACCTTGAACAGTCCAATCCCGATCATTATCTCCATTACATTCTTCGGGCTGAATAACCATACCTAAAACAAGTGAACCATCCTTGCATAATATAGCTATATTGTGGAGAACATCAGTAGCAATAATAATGATAAGTAATGTTTCTAGTTTAGTTCGAAGACCAAACCTTAGACAAGGAAATCTACTCTTTCACATTCCAAATAGTCTCTCTATTGTGTTTCTACTTTTAATGTGAGCAGCATTATATTTTACTTCTGCAATTGTTGTTGGATTTAAAAGTGGTGTCATCAAATATGATTTGCAAGAATAGCCACCATCTCCTAGAAGTTAGCACGTAACAGGAGAAACTCTATTCTCAAATTTCAGACATAATTCTGAATTATTAAATATTGTAGAATCATGTACTGATCCAGCCCATCTTGCTACTAAGTTTCTTATTAGTAAATTAGCATCACTGACTACCTAAAAATATTAATTGAATGAAAGATGCAATATTTATATTTATTAAAATTTAAATACACACAATTTATTCATGTAAACATTCTGNTAGCTATATTGTGGAGAACACCAGTAGCAACAATAATAACAAGTGATGTTTCTAGTTTAGTTCGAAGACCAAACCTTAGACAAGGAAATCTACTCTTCCATATTCCAAATAGTCTCTCTACTGTGTTTCTAGTTTTAATATGAGCAGCATTATATTTTACTTCTGTATTTGTTGTTGGGTTTAAAAGTGGTGTCATCAAATATGGTTTGCAGGGATAGCCACCATCTCCTAGAAGATAGCATGTGACAGGAGGAACTCTATTCTCAAATTTCAGACATAATTCTGAATTATTAAATATTGTAGAATCATGTACTGATCCAGCCCATCTTGCTACTAAGTTTCTTATTAGTAAATTAGCATCACTGACTACCTAAAAATAGTAATTGAATGAAAGATGTAATATTTATATTTATTAAAATTTAAATACACACAATTTATTCATGTAAACATTCTGATAAAGAATAATATAGAATTTAACTTACCTAGGTATTGATTGAAAAGTAAGCTTTCCTATTTCTAAATAATTCTGCATTTATTCCAGGAGATGAAATTGGAATATGAGTACAATCTACAGCTCCTATAACACCTGGAAACTTAGCAATATCGTAAAACTTTTTAATTACTTTTCTATATTCTAGAATGGTTGACAGAAATGGGTGTACGATGTACTTTTTTGAAAGGCTCCCCAAAGCTTTAGATACAGTTTTAATTATCCTACATACTGTTCATTTCGATGTTGAAGTCAGATCTCCCACTTCATGTTAAAAGCTTCCAGTGGCATAAAAACGTAAACTAATTAATAACTGCAAAAGAGGTGATATAGGATGATTTCTTCTTGTATTATATGACGGCAAGAGGTGCTTGATTTTGTCACATCCATGTAAAACAATTCTTTTAGAGAGCCTATATCTTTCGATAAACAGTTGGTCGTCAAACTTTTCAATAGGATTGGATCGATCACAAATTAATTGTCGTGGAATTGGAAATTAATTCTGTATTATTTCGTTTTTATACATTTACCGTACTTTGCAAAATAAGACAAATCTTCCACCATGTTCACCGAGATTAGTACACTAATCGTACGAATATGGTTGATTAGTTACTAATGCTAGATTATGTCTAATCTTAGAATGGTAAAACGCAAAATCAGTAATCCTGCATAATCCTGTAGTAATAGTCGTTAATCCTGCGATTTGCTCAATCGTCTGTTGGTGAAATAGGGGGTAAAACGTGAAGGTCGAACGTCGAGTGCCGCTATTTTGTAAGCAGCGCTCGACGTTCGACGTTCACGTTTTAGAGATGAAAACGTCGGCGGCAACCTCGCTATTGTTGCTTTTTTCGCGAAAACACTTCATTAACACATTTCTATTGCTTTAGAAATATTTTCCTTTAGTTTATTCAATTTATATCTTTATGAAATTTATAGATCAATTAGTGCAATCTTATGAAAATAAATGAAAACTATTTTTCAATATGTTTCAATGCATAAAGTTATTATCGAGGTTGAGCCGAAGTTTTAAATGCGAAAACGTGTACGTCAGACGTTCAGCGCCGCTTTCCTGTAAGCCTAGAAGTTTGCCAATGGTGTTTAGAATGTCGAGTATGATTCCACTGATTATCCAAACACCATTGGCAAACTTCTAGGCTTACAGGAAAGCGGCGCTGAACGTCTGACGTACACGTTTTCGCGTTTAAAACTTCGGCCTCAACCTCGCTATTTTCGAAATCTCCTTGCTGAATGTTACTGCAACGTGTAATAAGCATGCGTGAAAGAGTAAAAACAAGTATTCGGTTTTAGGAAAATTATTCCAGGTTTACAAATTTTCAGCGTATTTACCAATAAAAATATATTAAATTACCGGTATATTTGCCAATACTTTTTAACTCTTTACAAATAAACCGATAAACCCTATTTATCGGTAATGCAATCCTAAGATAATGTTATGTTATGTCTTGAACCCTAGTTGTTATTGCTCTTCTATTGACGTTATCTGTAAACACAATTACGAATTTTGTCCTTGAATGGCATCGTTCTTAAAGTCTAGGTATTTCCTCTTCCGATTTTTTTTTTCTTCGCGCTCTTTTCGAATTGCCTTCTATGAATATTATTTCATAATAATTGTCTTAACTACAAAATTTATATTTTTATTTCATAGATTGATAATTGAAATTCTTATCGTATTAATTATACACAAAAAATTTTGAATCAATGATAACTTATATGGAATTTATCATATAGGGGAGATCGGGGCAACTTCGGCATGCGGGGCAAGTTTGTCAAGCGCTTTTTTTAAAAAACAAATTAAAAGGAGACTTTGGTTATAGGTTAGGCAGTTGAGTTTTATTGGTGGCTTGTTGAGTGTAGTNTTTTTTCTACATTCCCTTAAAGATGAGATATACGAAATCGTAATATCACTGATTTAACATTGAAATCCGTGAGTAATATAAGATGGGAGAGCTGAATAAAAATATCAAATATTCTAATGGATTTTTTAAACTCCTGTCAACTGTACTATCATAAAAACATAAACCAACCGATAAGAATTTACTAGTAACTTATAAATCTACTTACTCGTGATTCACGTAATCGGGCAAAAGCGGTCAAATATCTAGCGGACAGGCGGCTAACAGCCCAGAATTGGATGCGTTATACATGTAGCATCCACCCAAGGTCCTAGGCTTCCACCGGCTAAACCGGGTGAGGTTGGTGCTCTGTAAAGCGCATGCGCGAATCTGGCTTTTTGGATGCTGGCAATACAGCGCTTCCACTCCGTCACTAATATTCGAATATACAATAGCGATCTTATCTATTTTTACCGTGTAGAATAGAAATTTGTAATAAGATACATAATGCGGTTATAATAAAATATCGTGCGATTATTTTCATATAATTATAATTAATATGTATTTATTTTTTAGCAAATACAAGGGAAGCGGCGCATCCACCACTTCTAATGATGGCACGCCTATGGTGCAATCCTAAGATAATGTTATGTTATGTCTGGCGTCTGGCTGTTACTGCTCTTCTATCGACGTTATCTGTAAACACAATTCTATTTTATTTGTCATTGACTATCATCGTTCTTAAGGTCTAGGTATACCCCCCTTCAGTTCTTTTCTTATCAGAATTGCCTTTTATGAATATTATTTCATAATAATTGTCTTAACTACAAAATTTATATTTTTATTTCATAGATTTATAATTGAAAGTTGTATCGTATTAATTACACACAACAATTTTCAATCAAAGATGTGTCAAATTTATCATAAACTTATTTTATATTATTTTCTTAATTGAAAAAGTTTATAATTATCTTATTAAACAATTTTCATTCAAAAACTTAAATGATTAATTATAAAAAACTTGGTAGTAATATAACTAAAGCTAAAGTACGGGACCGTAACCTCGAACAGAATTGTTAGTAATTATTCAATTAAAAATTTATTGAATCTAGAATCTCTTATTTTATTCGTCTTCCTGCTTGAGAATATTTTTTAACATCTTATTATATTTTAATAATTATTTTAAAAAAACTCTTTATTATATATAAAATAAGTTATTTAAGTAATTTAATTTAGTAAATGCAGTAAATGCAGGTAAATAATCTGTATTTGTAATTATAATAAATCCTAATAAGTATAAAAAAATCTATATGTTTGATTATTACATTCATATTTATTTTATATTTTAAGGCATTTTTATATAAATAATTTTAATTCCTAAAAAAACATTAATTATTTTATCTAATTTAAAATAATGTTATAATAATCATAAATTAAAAAATACGCAATTTTTAAGTGAAATCTGCATTGTTTATAAAATTAAAAACTAGACTGATAATTATTATCATCAAACTTTCTCAACTTCTTCGATTTCGCGACCTTTTAAAGTGATTGATGAGATTGTGTAATCTCTCATAAAATAAATCAATGATTTTTAAGATGTCAGTTATTAATTACATTTCATTTATACTGGTTTTACTACTTTTAAAACACTTTTAAATTGAAAATATTCTAGAAGAATGATAATGTCATAAATGCTTTAAATGACAAACAATTCAGAAACATAACATCACGATAGTTTGTAAAATCAATTCCGTATTTAGAAACAAGTTTTTATAACTTGTCTACGGAATTAAATAATGAATTTTTATGTATTTCAAATTATACTTTTCATGATAGTTATAGGTTTGTGAAATTGTGAACTGTGATCCACAGTTCTAGAAGTCCCGAGTATCATTACAGTGCCATTTAATCTAAACATGTTTTAAACTTATATTTACAAATAATTAATTAATAATAAGTATTTCATTTAAACATCACAAATATATTAACTCTTCTTGTTAAAAAGTAGTTATTGTTATTTTGCAAAAATTCTATATATTTTTTAACTTTTAATATTAATAATATTAATAT